TTCTCGTCTGGAGTGAGAATTTAATCTTACGGCCGAATAGGAACGCGATATCCCACCACATAGAGAGCAATTTTTTCGATAATTCGTTCGTTAGTATTTGGATTTCCTGTGTCTCGTTCAGACATGGCAGGTAACTGTAAAATCCTTCTTAAAACAGTGCGCATTTTATATCGATTTACAGGATTTATGGCTGGTATTATATTGTTATATTAAAATGTAAATATACAGGACGTTTTTTAAAAAGACTTTTTAATTCAAGGATAAATGTATGTAAAAAAAGCCCTGTAAAATATTATTGTATAACATCTTGTACAAATGAAGTGAAGAACTTATTTAAACGTGTGTTACCAATTATTCATTCATTATCATGAACTTCTATGAATGTAATATGAAAAAATGATCATCCTATTCGTGAAGAATATTGCAACAGAAATATCTGTTTCGTTTCAGTTAACTAGATTGGACACACTGGTTTATTTTCAACATTTTGCCGTCACGATTCTATAACCGATATTTCGTGGAAAAGTTATATTTCCACGACGACAATTTTTATAATAACACGTTTCCTACACTTCGAACAGTTCGACATAGTTTTGAAAGTATTAGGAAATTACACAGTCCTCGTTTTCATGAATTATGAAGAATATTCCGGTACAGTTATTTCCATCTGGTTATGTATTTTTCAAGATTGGAAACTTTTTCGTCACGATACTGGCTGCTATCCCGATAAAAATCGAAAATAAGTATGGAATTGGATGCGAGTCAAATCATTTTATATAAATTATTTAAAATTCTTAAACTTCTTGGAAAACTGTTGCTGAGTTAATAAGATTTTAAGTGCAATATATTATAGCTACCAGGATTGTATACAAAACTTGAAAAAATGTATATTCTATTACCAGCTCTCCTATCTTTATTCCATTTTAAAGGAAAGGAGTTATGGTCATATGAAAAATGAAGGGATGTACAGGGGAGGTCAAAATAGTTGTACTACTTCATAAAAAAGATTTTGCTATGGGGCATCGTTGAGGTTGAGGAGTTATTCGTCTCCAAAGAAAGAAGTTTGAAAAACAAATTCCAATTATAACTTCTAAGTCGTTACCATGACAACAATGAAATTTGGGCAATTAAAGTAACTCACGGCAATGTTCATTTCGAAGTTTTAACTGATAATGAGTATGGCTGGATTGTACAGGAGCAGACGAAATTATCCATTTAAATTTATACATTTTTGAAAACGTTGCCAAATTTGTCATTTTTCTTTCATAGTCCGATTCCTCTCTCACTTTGCTTAAAAAAAGGTATACTGTATATCAGTATTAATAACATACATGTATCAAAAATGCTATATTAACATTTTTGTAAAATCTTAGTTTCTTTGGAAATTGAGATGACTGTCAACAAGTATGCATAAATAGTAGTTAGATATTTGTCATAAATCATTTTGACACCATTTGTTGATTCAATATCATGGAGGATTTTAGCTATGAAGAATTTGCAGATATTCAGCTAATCGTACATTAGATGCAGAATGTAATGCTTCTGAAACTGTTCGGATTTACGCCAACCGCTTTCCAAATAGAATTTGCATATTTGAAGTGACGAAAATCCCTATGCTATTATTCAGACAAAACACCAACAAAAATTTATTATTAATGTGTGGATGGGAATAATTAGAAACTACTTAGTGGGACCACATATCATTGATGACACTTTAAATGGCGATAAATACCTATATTTACTGCAAGAACACCTTAACCACTTTTTGGAAGACGTCCCTTTAAATATTTGAAATAACATGTGGCTTGTGCCCGATGGTTAGCAGGGCAGTACGGTCTTCTTTAAATACCACATTTCCCGATCAATGAATCGGTCGAGATAGTCCTTTTCCTTGGCCGTCTCGGTCTCCCGATCTTAATCCTCCAGATTTTTTTCTTGGGGCCATCTTAAAAGTCTTGTTTATCAAACACCTATATTATAGTAGGGAAGAATTATTAAATCGCATAATTACATACGCCGACATCATCAGAAATGATCACCACATGTTATTTCGAGTACAGCAGAGATGATCCAGTAATTTCAGAAAATGCATTGAAGTTCAAGGTGCATAGATATTGAACATCTTAACAGTTCTCTTTTTTTCTTTTACTTCTATAGAAACCAAGATTTCATCACCAAGTAGGTATCACATTTTTGATACAATAAATGTATGTTGTTAATAAAATTCGATTTTCTGAAAAACGGTACAAGATATCAACTGATGTACGGTATACCTTTTTTTTAGCAAAGTGAGAGAGGAACCGAATTATGAAAGAAAAATGTAAAATTTGGCAACGCTATCAAAGATATATAAATTTTAATGCGACTTTTATTAGAAAATATTTCGAACAAAAGTTATCAGGTTTCAAGGCCGTCAAATTATGGTGACCTTGAAGTCAATTGTCAAGGTCACTTCAAGGTCAGTCCTGATTTTTTTAATATAAACCCTTATTTTTTATTGAATTCGTATTCTGCGGGAAAAAATACGTTACTTTTGTATGAAACATTTTGATCAAAATACTTCGTTCTCTCGCCAGAGTGCGCTATACTTTTACTGCTCCATTTTGATTCTCAGGTTAATATCTCAAGAAATAAGCAAGAAGGTGAAAAATATTTCCAACAAAAGTTGCCAGCTTTCGGGGGGATCAAATTGCCTTAAGGGGTCATCCATAAATTACGTCACACGTAAATGGGGAGGGAGGGTATCACCGAAATGTGACAATGTGTGACAAGGGGCAGGGGGGGGGTCAAAAGTTTTGTGACGTCACATGTTAAAATTTAAAATACTAAAACGTGAAATTTAGATGTGAATAAAAAACTATAAAAATCTACGAACTTGATCTATATTTATTAATAATTTAGCATTCTCGCTATCTGAAATATTGGACTTTATGTTGATTATTTAATAAAAAAAAAGTAAAAAATGAAAATAGCTGTTTTTTTCTCGATTATTTTTAAATACATGCCTAAATTTAAAGAATGTGTGACGTCACATCAGGAGGGGGGGGATTATAAAAATGTGACAACCTGTGACAAGGACGGGGGGAGGGGTTCAAAAGTCCTAAAATTCGTGTGACGTAATTTATGGATGGCCCCTAACCTTAAAATTAACCTTAACGTCAATTATCAAGGTCAACCTTGATTTTTTAAATGGAAACCCATATTTTTTATTACAGTTTCGTATTCTGCGGGAAGAAATACGTAACTTTTGCATGAAACATTTTTCTTTTTTTAATTTTTCACTTCATTTATTAAAATGACAAAAAATAGTAATCTTACAAACTCAAGCTAACAATCTCTAAGAACCGTGTTATTTTGATACCTCTTTTCCGATTAATACAACTTTGCTAAATAAAATGCTTAAATCGTCTCAACTCGTCTCATCATTCTGCAACTTGCTCTTCAAAATTTAATTGTCAAACCCGTCAAGTTAAGCACCATACATTATTACATTTTGTTGGTAATACAATAGACTCCCCGTCATCAAATATAGTACAATCGCCTCTACAGCTACAACTCTTTCCACCACAACCGTTGTCATAGATCCAAGCATGCAGCCACGTGAGCTCCTTAAGTAATATCCTTCCTCAAAATTCTACAGTTCTTCTGTCAACAGCTGTTACGGAGATCTCTGATATTTATGGACATTTTTGTGTGCCAGTACCTTGTATATTTCTGATTAACCAAAAACGCTCAATGAAGTTAATCTCTGGACTTCTAGTGGGCCAAGGTAAATTTATTTCTCTTTTATATTATGACTTTCTGCATTTTCTTTATCCGTCGAAGTGAACTACATTAGAAAATTATAGAACGTTGTACGTGCAATATTTGCCTGCTAATGCAGTCATAAATTCGTTTATTTCAGCCGACGTGCATGTCAGACTCGCGTGCACAGACGTCAGTCCGACTATAATACAATTACGTATTAATGTAACATCAATAATAATATTCTTATACTGTTATTATATACAAATGGCATTGCAATCGATACGAGTAATCATTATACCTCTCTGCCTAGTCATCTCTTCGAGCAAACTACGCGTATAAATAGAAGAGTTCGAAGTACTCTGAAAAATCCTCAAGCTACGGACGGACTCGCGAGTTTTACATCCTGTTTTATTACGCTCGACGTCAATAAAGTAAAACTATTTCTGCTTTGGTATTTAAGAAGTGTTCCGCGGAATGGGTTCGTGATGTATTTCCTGTAAATTGTTGATACACTTGCAGTAAATGTTGTTTAAGCGAGGAATTGAGTTTATTAATAACAAAGTGCTGTTTCTAAAATAAGCACTTACTAAACTTTCGTGGTCGGCTATAAAGAAACTAACAAAATAAAGTAAATAAAGTACTATATTTGGTTTCATTATTGTTACTGGGCGCATTTTCTATCCAATCATACCGAAAAGTGTTTAGGTTTTGTCAGTAAGTCGCTGATTGCGTGCCTTTTTCCTTTTTTTAGAATGACACGAAAAACTGTTTAAGGTACCTAGACCAAATATGGGCACTGATCCAAATATGGGCACTTTCTAAGAATTTGCTAAAAAACAGTTATTTCCTCAAATACCAAAGTTCTCTACGACGAGTAAGGTTAAATAGGTCTTCTCTATAAGTTAAGTATTCTACGGATCACGAGAGGGCGTTCTGATAATTACCATTAGCAGAACTGTCAACAACAGACGTGAGAGTAGTAATTTCGGTGAATGTTTATTAATTTTGCCGTAAAAATATTTACAAAATGTTAACTATTGTATGTCAATGTATAGCTAAATGTATGTACTTGCATGTAAAAGTTTAGGTTTTTTTCTACCTCATTGAAGAAAAAAGTTTTGATAAGAGAACTGACAAAATCTTAATGTGCCAAATATGGGCACTACCGCATGTTCCAAATATGGGCAGTGCCCATATTTGGAACATTTTTTTTAGCTGAACAAACGTGAATAGGTATTGTTTTCTTTTAGAAAATGCCACCAAAAAAAAGAGCGCAATGGAGTTCAGAGACTTTGGCTGCTGCTGTTACAGCAATTGAGCAAGGAATGAAAATAAAGCGGGCATCAATAAACTTTGGAATACCACGCAGTACATTACAACGACATGCCAGAACTGGAAATAAGGTTAAAAGTTTGGGTCGCAAGCCTATCTTGAGCAAGGAACAAGAAGAAGAGCTGTGCTCTAGGATATTTAGATTAGCTGAGATAGGAATGCCTCTGACATCAAAAGTGTTACGCAGAAGTGTATACACATTTTGCCACACAAATAATATTCAGTGGCTAACCAGCAAACAAAATTTACCTCTAGTAGGAAGAAAATGGCTTAAGCTATGCCTATGAAACATTAAATAGAGTTATGACAGAGCTAGATATTATGGACAAACCGCACCTTATATTTAATATGGACGAGAAAGGGTGCCAGCTAACTGTTCATAAGGAACCAATAATATTAACTCTAAAAGAGTACCTTTTGTAGCACCAGAACACGCCAAAAATGTGACAGTGGTATCTTGTGGGAATGCTTTAGGCCAAGTAATACCACCCGTCATTCTTTTCAAAGGCAAAAGGAATAAACCTGAATTTTCGGATAATCTTCCTCCTGGAGCTAAAGTATTCATGACTCAAAAAGTGAGCATGACTTGTGCTACATTTGTTGAATGGGTTCATCACTTTGCCGAACATAAACCTCCAGGAAAGGTACTTTTAATTTTTGATGGAGCTAAATCCCATTTAGATGCGAATATTGTTACTGCTGCAGACGAAGCTAATATAACGTTATTGTGTCTTCCGAGCAACTGCACCCATGAATTACAACCTATGGATAAGTCAGTGTTTCGTTCATTTGAGTACCACTGGGACGATGAGCTACAACGCTTTTGGGGCGTTCGTCCAGACAGAAAACTAACCAAATCAAGTTTTGGCATTGTGTTTTCTAAAGTTTGGCCAAAAGCGACTACACCATCAAATGTAGCAGCAGGATTTCGAGCAACTGGCATATATCCATTTGACCCAACTATAATACCAGAAACCGCATTTGCACCATCAACGATATCAAAGAGACCTCAAGAAGATCCTGAGAAAAACATTGCAAATCATCCCGTTGTAGCTTTCACTAAACCTTCAACTTCTGAGGATCGTCAAGACATCAGTTCCACAGACGAAGATAGTGACTTAGAAGCATCATCGTCGTCAATTTCTTCTCCGGCACATGTTACTGCCGAAGAATCCAGTGACCATTCAGATGGTAACCATTCACAATCTTTTTCAGAGTTGCTTCCAACTCCAGATCTTTCTACAAAGTCCACAGCTAAAAATCCTGCCAAAAAAGCCATTAATTACAAGGCTGTTCAAGTAACAAAAGCACTGTTTTCTGACGATGAAACAATCACAGCCAAATTAAAAGGTAAATCTAAGAAGAAAAATACATCTTATAGTGCTTTGTCAAATCCCAATGAATCCTGGTATTGTGTTTTATCTAATGAGGATCGACAAATAGACATGAGACAATGTACCCTATGTACTACTTGGGTACATGAGGAATGTTGCGGCTTGACCTCAAAGGATAAAATAAAAAATTTCAAGTGCCCGACATGTGAAACTTAAGCTGTTAAAATATTTCAGTATTTAGGTTTTGTACTTTACAAAATTTATAGGTATGTTATTGTTATTTTTTATGTTTCCAGAATGCAATGTTTTATTTTATTTTTTTTTTTAATAAAATAAGTTTATGCGTTGTTTATACCACATCAATATCTTATTTTCATATGAATGAAAAAAATGTTCCTATTACCTAATCACTTGCCCCAAATATGGGCACCTAATGCCCATATTTGGACACCCTGGTCCTAATATGAGCATTAGCGTTTTTTTTATTTATTTTTTTAAACAAACTGTATTACAATTTGATCAATTCTTTACACATTTTATAATTTCTCATGATCTAAGGAATATCTACAAGTAATTTAGTTATTTTATAACAAATACTGTAATTATAAAAAAATAATTTGCTTAGGGATGCCCATATTTGGTTCGGTTACCTTAGATTTTGAAGTGCGTGAGCTCCTTTTTTTTGGACCTGGATATATTAATCTAACCATAATAAGAGATTAAACTAACCATAATATGAGACTGTTCGTGAAAAATAGCTTAACCGTTCATTCATAAATTGATTTTTACCGATACGCCATCTATTTGCAATCAACAGAACTAAATGTCAAATAACTACCAAAACCATAATGAATATCTGAAATAATCTTATTCCAATATAACTTATTAAGTAAGCAAGCACTGAGCAAATACAAAATATTTAATCAGTATATTTTGTAGAAGACAACAAAGTAAATATGAACTTGCTTCACTAATTCCATAATAAAATAATAATTTGTTTTGAAACACGTAAAAATCGCTCATGTTTTTAAAATAATTACGCTGTAAATATTTGTTTATCTCACTTTATTTTTACTTCGTTGCTATTGTTTTATAATCTCTTTCCGCTAATTTAAAAAGGTAGGTATACTGGAATAAAAACTGGTTTATGTCCTTTGTAATGTAGAATACAGACAATCGCAATACCTAATTTCTAGTTTAATAACGATATTTTTTCTCATATTTTTGGTCGTACACAAACATGACAATATTCTGCATGGTTACGACGACAAATCCCCTAAAAAAACAATAACTTTTCGCAGCAACATGTCGAAATATCTGCATTTTTCATTACTCGTTCATTGCAAAGAGCAAGGAACATGCAGAATGCAATTTCGCGCGATTGCGATAAAATTGAAAAGTCCGCCTGGCGTTGTTCCTAAGCTGGCAAATACCTACCTATACGTACCTATTGTCGAGTACATGTATGTGACATACCTACCAAAGGATGTAGGAAACGGAAGCTTAATTTAAAATTATATTTTCTGTTTAAAATCCAAGGCGTAATGAATCAGGAAACCGTGTCAAAGATCATTTTTTGCGAGAAGTTTCCATCGAATAATACCTGGGAAAATAGCGAGCTGACATCTAGATATTAAAAATTCCATAGACAATTTATAGGATGGAAATATGCAGTTTCAAAGCTGCTGCAATATTTTAGGTTAAAAATGGTTCAAACGATTCCATCTCAAACATAAATCACAAGCATTTAAAAACGTTCATTCACCGACTAAAATACCCTTATTTATTTAATTGAAGTCATGCTACATGCGCTCATGAAGAAAATATTTTAGTACCGAAATTTAAAAGCCTAAAGGAACATTTTTCACAATTAAAAAAATGTCACTTAACCCATGAAATAGTCTCTAAATAATTGTTACACGACCCTGGTCCATGTTTGTTCCAAGAAACGTACCTGTCCTTCCTATGCTCCAAATGTAATCTCGTTTACAGCTACAATTTCAACTTAATTAAATCAAGAGTGACTAATAACCATCTAAAGGGATAACATACGACAAGCTGTGTAGGTAATTATCCTCTGAGTTCCTATAATTCAACGCTTATTTGACTGACATCAATCCTGCCCTCTAACACGCTTGATTTGATTAAAATACGACGCAGCCCAAGTAAACGTTACCTTCACTAACAGATTATTACAGCCAAATATGCGCTTACAGCCTAACCAATTTTTATTAGGACATTTCTTCTTAATATAACAGGTGCATATGCAACCAGGATTACAAATGCACTATTGAAGTGTGTTGAAAACACCTTAAATTAAAACTCAAACAGGTGTTTCAAATATGCAGTATTTAGAAATCTCGATAGCACTGAACATTACAACTGAGTTAGCTCTGAGCATTTTAAATTTTATTATTGGCGCTGGTGACTATCATCGATACAAACGCTGCTCTGTTTTACCGACCATGTATCGACCCATTCGCTCATGCTTTATTTGTCAAATGTAAAAGTAATGTAACCTCAAAAAGCCCAGTTGCCTGTTCTTTAAAGTATTAGTGTGTGAAACAACTCAATTTGTATAAAACGTCGCCATAAAATGAGTCAACAAGAAAAATTCCAGTTGTACGTGTACGACGGTGACTATTCCCTGCCTTCTCTCGACGTCGAATGCTTAAAATCGATACTGTACACCGCCGTAGCCGAGGTGCCTGTCCAAGTGAGGTTATTAAACAACTTTAAACATTGTGTATTCTACAATGCGCCGACATTCGTTCACAAGAATTTGCTGTTTAAGTCGTTTCACGAGATGATGTTATATTTGAGGACTTTAAACTACAACATTGACAACAAACTGAGTTCGAAACAATCCAGTGAATCCCTGGCATTAACCAATTTGGTCCAGTCTAAGTTGAAACCCGTCACTGAGTTCGTGTATTGGTTGGATCAAAGAAACAGTGACGAATTCACAAATATATGGTTCATGAAATCTTTACCTATACCGTTTAATTATATGCGTACGAGGAAATTCAAAGACCAAGCGATGAACTTAATGGAAATTTTATATCCTACGGAGACTAATCTCGATTTATTAAAGGAATATCTGCAAAGAATGGCAACGGAGTGCTTATCATCACTTTCAACGAGGCTAGGGACTAGTGAATATTTTTTTGGGACCAAACCGACTACATTAGACGTTATAGTGTACGCCTACTTGGCACCGTTAGTAAAACTACCATTTCCTTCAAACGAAATCAACAATATTATTAATATGTGGCCAAACTTAATCAACTTCGTAAAGCGAATCGACACTACTTATTTCCCAAATCTGCCTAAGCAGCCGAAGTACCTCAAACAACCCGAGAAGACAACCAGTAGCGATGAAGATGTGTCGTATGTGGCAATTTTAATTCTTACAGTCAGTGCTACCTCGCTGTTATTGGGATTTGCATTTAGTAAGGGTATCATTTCATCCAATATATTACAGTAAATACAAAAATTTTTTAATTAGGTATGTATATTAAATTATTCTGTTAAACCGTCGTTTGTTTTGCTGTAGTTTTGTTTGTTACCTTGTACAATAAAGACTGAACTTTGTAAATACACTCTTTTTGATTGCGAGAATTTATTTGTTTTATTTAAAAAGAAATGAAACCCATAAACATACTGCAAACAATATTTGGGATATCTATGTTTATAAATTAATTCTTAAAAAATAAACAGGTACTTAAACAATTTTTTTTCAGGCTATCTAGATCTTTGTTAATGTAAAAATTATTTATGAATTAATTTTTAATAGGCACATGGTGGTCCATTAATGTAACAAACTGCAGTAGCTCTGTTATTGACATATACAAAAATATTCAAAAAAGAGTTTAAATAGATAATATCTTTCAAATTCTAAACAGAATATACAGGGTAAAGAAATATACAGGAGTATGAAAATGTAGCAGCGAGGAAACAATTATTTTTTTTTAAATGGAAGATTATCGAAAAATTCTGCCAAACATGGTGTAAATAGTTTTATATTCAATAAAAGCATTATCTTTTTTAAAAGTTTTTCTATTATTTGTAGTAATTTTCTGTTGATAATAATTAAAATTATATCATGAAATTTAACAGTAGATAATAAATACAGCCTTTTCACAATTTTTATAAAGTCAATATTAGCAAAATAACTAGAAATAACATAATAAAAGTTGGGTAATATAAAATGTAGAAAAAGAAATGTCTATTAAATACAGGGTGTCCCATTTGAAAAATCAGAGAACTGTTTTAAATTTGCAAAGTTGGCATATATATAGAGAACACATGGTAAAAATAAAGGACATCTTTCGAAATCTAGGATGGTTAGCTATCTGTTGTCTTTCATATTGACAAAAATTTTAATCTACACTATTACCATTTAAACTATTTAAAGAAATTGTAGTAAATTAAAATAGGTGATATATACAGGGCGTACAGAAAATTTGTATATCAAATCCGATAAATTAGGTCTTCCCCTACAAAATGTCCAATTTGCACAAAAAAATAAACCTATGTTTCCGGAAAACTAAATTTTGCTGTCAATTTTTGTCTAAAAATCAAAATATCTCGTGCTATATGTTTTCAACTTAAAAATAAATGCTCTTTCTAAAAATGCAATAATATACAGGGGGTTCCATTTAAAATAGGAAAGTTGCTATCGACTTCCGGTATAACCGGAAGTACGATGACCTTGAAAATATTTTAGCTTGGTCGCGGCCTGTATAACACCACCACAATTTCAAAAAAGTCCTTCGAGCGGTTCTCAGATGTCAATGTTCTATTTTTTGGACAATTTTTCTGGTATTATACCTGTTATCAAAAAGGCCATGACCAGAAAACTACAAAAACAATTAAGATAACTCGACATTTGTCAAGTTAGTTGTCAAATTATCGTTATGTCTGTAATAGTTTTTGCTGAAAATTTAAATAAAAGTACCCGGACATCGTTTAAATTATACTAATGAGGATTATTATAATTTGTTATTTATGGACAATGTGACAAAGTAGTTTCCAGAATATGTAGAGAATTTGCTGCTTGGTGTCTTGTCAGTATAGACCTAATTTAAAAGTTATAAATCAACATAAACAAATGTCACAAATTTTGAATTATACAACTATACAGTGATAAACCACACTGTATAATTGTATAATTCAACATTTGTGACATTTGTTTATGTTGATAATCTAAACATATTGATATTGGTAAGTATTAAAATTTATGATAGAAAAAATTTAATCATCTTTTTGTTTCAAAAGATATACATATACTTAAACATTTATTTTAAATTTAAACACAATGAGGAGATAGGTATGCAAATTTATTTATTTTTTCCTGTAATGACTAATTTGACTAAAAATATATGATTTTAAGACTACCAAAAATTAAATGTGCTTAACAAGAGCCACTTATACAGTGTGTCCTGAAAAGTAAAACATTATTTTATTTATAAATTTATGTTAAAATTTTATTTGGTATTATAACCAAAGAATAGTTATTGGATGTTTTCCAAAATCCCAATAGGCTGTAAGAAATATCAAGAAAACAATACTAATTAATTACCAATGGTACAAATATCAAGCATGATTCCATAATTTAAAAAAATAACTTTAAATAAAATTAATTTATAATCCAATAACGGAATAGAAAATATCAGTAAAATTTTATAGTCTTCCAGTCTGAATTAAATATATTTTGATTAATTTTTATTACGTTTCGACTGTTTTGCGATCTTGATTAGTTATCCAAGTCAAGGTTTTAGTGGGATAAAGATCAATAAATAAAAGAACACTATATTTTAAATCATTGCCAACGTTTCGGTGTTATTTTACATCATCCTCAGGGCTCGAAATTTGAAGTGTCCTTTGTCCAACTTAACAGTTCTAAAAATTAAGAAGATCGTATCTAGACACTTATATGTGTACTTATAATTCATGGAACAATTGCAATGTGGTTTTCTTTCACAGTAAAAATTGTTGTAATCTTCTTAATATTTAGAACTGTTAAGTTGGACAAAAGACACTTCAAATTTCGAGCCCTGAGGATGGTGTAAAATAACAACAAAACGTTGGCAATGATTTAAAATATAGTGTTCTTTTATTTATTGATCTTTATCCTACTAAAACCTTGACTTGATTAATTTTTATATATAGAGAAGTTTTTGATACAATTACGAAAATTATAAGTAGGTACGTATGTCTAAACTATCTAAGTGATATGAAATAAGGTAATCATTTTTTCCAAGTTCATTGAATTTACAGCCTTCTCGGAATTACTAATAATATTATTTCGATATTTCGAAAGATGTTTGGAGTCATTTTTACATTTTTAAGAAGTTGAACATTCTCTATACAAAATCAAGAAAGTAGTAAAAAAATTGTGGGACATTCTGTAGATAGTATTATTGAAGTTCTGATATGTTTTTGAAAAATTTTTAAGCATCTTACTGTTTGAAAATATGTTATAGGATTAGGTACATACACATTTTAATTTTAAAAGATGGGAAAATATCCATAATTTTTAATTTTTCTATAGTATCTTAGACAAGTCATAAAGTATCATATTAGGTTTGAAAAAATTATTTTCTGCTTAACAAAGGAGTGTGTATACGAAAAAAAAATATTGGAAACCATGAACGGAGTTTCAATCCTCGGGAGGCATTTTTCCATCTACTAAACTAGGAGATCCCAATAAGAATAAACATCGTCGTAAAAAATTCAGGAGCCAACTTATCTTGCGGAAATCTACATTCGCATGGCCTCTCAAGGAATTGTATTCCGTAGTGTTTTGCATTTTTTACGAGGCATAAGAAAGAATAATCGCTAATTTGAATTGCAATCCTCTAAATCTTTCAAAATTGATACATGGTCTGCGGAAGACCCTCTATCTCCCGCTACGAATACATCCCGGGAAAAACTTCGCGTTCCAATGCATTTTTCAATCCCAATCAAAAGTTTCCCTTTAATCATGGCGACTTTAGTAATTTTTAGAAGCTCTTAAAATTCACTTTGTTCAGACTCTAATAGGATTTGGCTGATAAAAGGATTATGTCCGCCTGCATTAAGTTCATAAAAACAAAGTGAAATTTTGTTCACTTTAAAATCATTCACGTCTGCTCTAAGCCTCGGGAATATTAAAAATATAATTATCCGCTGGCGAGATGAGAAGGTCGACAGCGAGATTTTAACGTGCTCCTTATTATTATCCATTTTCACTGGAAATATAGCGATAAAAGCCGTTTTAAAAGGGCTCTTAATCCTTTCGAAAAATAAATCTGTATCAGACCTTTCACAGTTCACACGAATTAGCACCCAGACAAAAGTACGTATAGTATAATTATTCAGATATACCTTTAATTTGATAAATGTAATAACAAACAGAATATAGGTACAATCAATTCAATGAATGACCAACTGAAGATGCTAAAAGTGAATCATGGTAAAATTGGTTGCATGATGTTTATGCTTATCTAAAAGACAAATTCAAAAAAATTGTCAAGTTTGAATTTAAATTTTCTTTTCTATAGTAATTTTTACAATTTAAATATATACCTACCTACCGAATTGGTAAAAATTATAACATATAAACTGTAAAAATGACATTGATGATATAACTATAAAACATTACAAGATTGAATAATATGCAGTTCTAGAGGATGATTTGAAAAAAAAGAGGTCATAAATTCAGGGGTTGATAAAGGATAAAAGATAATACAATTTTTTCCTATGAATCATTGGCCTTTTGTTTTTGATATATAGGGTGATCCACCTAAAAGGGATTCTTCTTTAACTCTGCAACTGTAAAATTTATAAACAATTGGTTTTATTAAAAGTTGCCTGAAATCATGTGGGCCATGTATAGAAAATATTTTTAGCTTTACAGGGTGTTTATTTCGCGTGGGCGCTACATAACTTTGTTATTTTAAATTAAAGATAGAAAGGACATCTAGTAATTTTATTGGAAAATATATTTTAAAAGTATAGAAAACTATTTTAAATGTGATTTGTTTAGATGATAATGAGTGGAAATAATAGAAACATTATAATTATTGTTATTTGATTAAATTGTGATATATTTGACTTAAGTTTTTAATGTCAGTTTTATCGTTAATACTGTATTTATTTTTTTTATATGAATCATTTCCTGAATTAATATTTTGTTATAATTTTGTTCTTTAACGAGAAATTTGGTTTGATCAAAATTAAAACTATGTTTTTTTTCTTTGGCATCTTTATTAAGAGCTGCTGCACAATTTTTAGTATATTTATGGCCCTTTAATCTATTCTCTAAATTTTGTGATGTCATACCTATACATAGAATGACCATTGCAATCATTGTATGGAATAGAATATACTACATGAGATTGTTTTAGTACAGGAGTTTTGCTTTTTAAACGTGTGAAAAATTTATTTAATTGATTAAAGATTTAATTTTTTCAGATAAAGATTGTAGATACATATAGTAAAGCAATATATTGACAATTGACAGTTATGATCAGAATTTATTGATTTTTTATTTTTTGATGTATTATAGAAGTTAATGATTCTTTGTTTAATAATTTTGTTATAAAATTTGGGAGCATAATTATTATTTA